GTTGTTCTTATTCATCTTGTTCTTGTTCTTCTTCTTCTTCTTTTTCTTTTTATTCGTGTTTTTCTTGTTATTCTTGTTCTTGTTGTTCTTGCTCTTCTTGTTCTTTTTGTTCTTCTTTTTCTTGTTCTTCTTTTTCTCCATCTCCTTCTTTTTCCTGTTTCTCCTTCTCCCTCTTTTTCCTGTTTCTCATTCTACCTTCTCTTAGCTTTGCCATCCTATATCTTTTTTTGTCTTCCTCTCCTCCTCATTTATCGTCTTCCTCTGCATTACTTTCCTCTTTCTCTGCCTTTTTCTTCTTCCATGTCAAATTTTCTTCTCTTCTATTTTTATTCCATTTTAGTTTAGTATTCATCTCCTATTTGTATTTCCACCTCTTCTTCTCCTCTTTCTCATCTTCTTTCAGTATCCTCATCTTCCTAGTCCTTCCTCATTCCTCTTTCTCTTCTCAATCCTCCTTCTCCTTCTCCTTGTTTCCTCTGTTCCTTCTCCTTTTAACTCTCTTCACCTCCTCATCTATTTAATTTTCCTCCTCCTTCTTCCCTCCTCTTCCTAATCTTCCTCATTCTCCTTGTCTTCCTCTTCCTACTCTAACTCTCTTCATTCTCGTTCCCTCCCTCTTCCTAATCCTCCTCTCCTGCTACCCCCTCTTCCTAATCCTCCTCTCTGCTCCCCCTGCCCTAATCCTCCTCTTCTGCTCCCTCTCTTATAATCCTCCTCTCCTGCTCCCCCCTCTTCCCTAATCCTCCTCTTCTGCTCCCTCCTCTTCCATAATCCCTCCTCTCCTCCTCCCCCCCTCTTCCAAAATCCCCTCTCCCTGCTCCCCCCCTCTTCCCTAATCCTCCTCTCCTCTCCCCCCCTCATCAAAATCCTCCTCTCCTCTCCCCCCCCCTCTTAAATCCTCCTCTCCCTACTCCCCCCCTCTTCAAAATCCTCTTCTACTCCCCCACCCTCTTCATAATCCTCTTCATTCTCCTTCTCTTCCTAATCTCCTTGAACTTCCTCTTCTCTCTAATCATCCTCTCCGTGTCAGCCATCTTCCCTGTTTTTGCTGTTGGTCTCTGTGAACCCTTAATGATCTTTTGAACCAGGTCATCATAGCTCTGCTTTACATGTTCCTTGTGGGCTCACGTGGCACCGACTCTCCCCCCACCACCCCCTCACCCATCCCCCACTCCCTCCCTCCACCGACCCCTCACCCCCCCACCGACCACGCTCCCACCCTCAGGCCAAATTAAACCTTACTGGGGTGGCAACCGGGGGGGAGGGGGGGATCTAGGATTAATTTTTTTGTGGGGAGGGGAGTGGGTAAGGGGGAGAGGGGAGGAAGGGACGGTGAAGGAAGATTATGAGGGGAGGAGGGATGGGAAAAGTAGGAGGGGAGAAAGGTGTGGGGGAGAGTATGAAGGGGAGGAAGGGTATAGATAAGGGGTGAAGGGGGAGAGGAAGAAGGGGAGAGAAGGTAAGTGAGGGGAAGAGTATTAAAGAAGGAAGATAAGGGGAAAGACGGAGGAGGTGGTGAAGGGTGGTGAGAGAGTCGGGTAAGGAGAGTAATGTACTGTACCAAACTTCCATCACCAAACTTTAATAGTATATTCTTGCAGGAGTTCAGCTCACAAGTATCCCATTAACTCTCTATGTTATAAAAGATTAAGAAGTGTTTATCAGGCGGAGGTAAATATTTGTAATTAGCTTCAGCATCAGGTGAGATCAGATGCTTTTTATTGCGTCAACAGCTCTATACGTCATAGGCTAATTATTATAGCCTATGAGTGTGAGAGGCGTGATAGAATGTCATCTCTACAGGCTACAGACGTGGTTATAGGTCATGTCTACCGTCTACAGGCGTGGTAGTATGTCATGTCTACAGGCTACAGGCGTCGTTGTAGGTCATGACTAAAGGCGTGGTTGTAGGTCATGGCTACAGGCGTGGTAGTAGGTCATGCCTACAAGCTACAGGCGTGGTTGTAGGTCATGACTACAGGAGTGGTTGTAGGTCATATCTACAGGCGTGGTTGTAGGTCATGACTACAGGCGTGGTTGTAGATCATGACTACAGGCGTGGTTGTAGGTCATGACTACAGGCGTGGTTGTAGGTCATGACTACAGGCGTAGTTGTAGGTCATGACTACAGGAGTGGTTGTAGGTCATAGCTACAGGCGTGGTTATAGGTCATAGCTACAGGCGTGGATGCAGGTCAGACTACAGGCGTGGTTGTAGGTCATGACTACAGGCGTGGTTGTAGGTCATGACTACAGGCGTGGTTGTAGGTCATGACTACAGGCGTGGTTGTAGGTCATGGCTACAGGCGTGGTTGTAGGCCGTGGCTACAGGCGTGGTTGTAGGTCATGGCTACAGGCGTGGTTGTAGGTCATAGCTACAGGTGTGGTAGGTCATGGCTACAGGCGTGGTTGTAGGTCATTACTACAGGCGTGGTTGTAGGTCATGACTACAGGCGTGGTTGTAGGTCATGACTACAGGCGTGGTTGTAGGTCATGGCTAC